CAACCAGACCAGAGAGACACATATTCACATTTCAGGTAAAAACTGTTCTAAAAGCTGTCTGAGAATCTATTTTTAATCTATTCATTATGGAAAACAATGTTTTGGGGCCAGTGTCACCTGTGCCGTAGTTCTACTGGAAGCCACACACTGTCCCTGGGGCCCTGGTTCATACTCTAAATCATTAAAAATGTTGGGATTATGACCACAGGGTGGCGCTACAAGGCCAAATCATACAGGGTCACAAATGTAAGGCCTCATCCTTCTTGTATATTAGTAAAAATTAAAATGAAAGGGTGGCACAAGAGGAACAGTCAAAGCGAGCACTGGGCGGACTTTGTTAATTGCTGATGACATGAATATTTTGTTATCTAATTTTGTTCAGTTTGTTAGTTTTATATAACAGTGGTGTGTTTTTCTGTGTTTTCTCATTTCAGCTGATTTCTTCATGGACCCACCAACAACCATTTGTATCAATATTGGTGTTGTTTTAGTTTTTGTCCTTCTGTGTTGTCTTGCAGTTGTCTTTGCTTGTTGGAAATGGAAACGAAAAAAATCAGTGAGTCACAAAGAAATCTTATTTCTTTTTACTGTCAGTGTTGAATAGGGTAGCTGTGAAGAGAATACAGATGTCAAGTGTTTTACTGTAAAAGGGCATGTATGCACTGTTTAAGCTGTCTGAGCACTCTATAAATTCAGCAACTTTTAATTTAATTTTCCTTCCAGGAAACACAGAACCTGCAACTCAAGTCTTTGATGGAACAAGAAACAGACAAAGAGCCGCACCATCAGAGAATAGATGCAACTACCAGTTAGTTAGTTCATTGTACAGGTCATAGTTTACACAGGTACTATGTTGAGGTTGCCTTCTCCCTGTAATTGTGACCTATCATTGCTGAAAAAGCCCATAAACTCTGTATTATTTTTATGTTGAGACACAAGCTTGAATAAAAACAATTCAAATGTCTACATTTGACCTCTGATAATCATCACATCTCCACAGTGTGTGACAGACTTGCTTATACACATGCTTAATCAAAACTATAAAACAACACAGCGATTTCTTACCTGATGTATTTGAGCAGAGTGGGGTGGAGAGGTATGTTAAATGATAAACGCAAAAAGGGAAACGTGAACAGACTGTGAATAAATCTAGACGTACATGTAGCGTTTCACTTGAATGTCAACTGAGACAAAAACATCTGGGGCTGTATTCACAAAAATATCCTTTGGCTAAAAGTAACTCCTGACTGTCTGAGTGAGTTTGGTTTCCTGGTCACCAGAAGAGAAACAGGAAGAGGAGGAGCATGTTCTGAAGTACATGATATCGCAAACTCAGTCCGATGTTCAGACAGCAGCAAGACAACATGGAGGTTACAGCTCTCTGCATCAGACTGTGTGAGTATTGTCTAACATTAACAAACATATATTGATTTAATCATTGTGAAATAACAGACGTGGAACTCAATAGTTTGTTGAGTTCAAGAGAAATTTGATATGAATTATCCAAAATGCACAGGTAATACAAATAATAATATAATAACTACCAAATATTTCAGAAGTGTTACAGTTATGGTAAATACTGTATGTTATATGTTAAGTCTTATACAGCTCTCTTGTCTCTCCAGTGATGGCTGTATTGTTGCTGCTGGATGCACAAGTTGACTTCAGTTATTCCCAAAACGCTGGTAAGTAAGTAAATTAGTTAGTTAGTTAGTCAAACTTTCCAAAGTGTTGTATACTGGGTGTCTTTTTAACAAAAACATCTTTAATAGGCTTCACATATATTACACTCTCCAACTTGCTCTGTTACTACTGCTGTAGTCATAAGAATTTTGGGACCTCTAAATAAAAGTGTCAATCTGTGTAATAGATTACATCTTAAACGTTTAAGGCTTTATCTCAAGTAATAACACCTGTATAACATACTGCTAATAAAACACGGGATACATTAATTTATTCTTTCATGTTTCACTTGAACATGTTCCAAAACTTACATTAAAGATCGCTTCTAAAACATTTTTATTTCAACAGTGTGGCCATCACCTCATGCAATTCTTATGGGAACTTCTAGAAGAATTAAGACCTATATCCTATATCCATGTCCTTTCATTGAAGCACATGGTTTAATGTGTCTCATTCTTTGTGTTTCTGTCTTAGATGTAGATTTTCCTCAGGTTGTTCCCAACAGACAGCAGCACTTTGTATATGAGTCGATTAATATCAGCTGTGAGGGACTGGAGGGATTGACTGGATGGACAGTGATGAGGAGCATCAGAGGAGTTGTTAAAACATGCAACTCTAGCTGGTCAACAGCAACAGTACCCTGTGAAATTAAAAATGTGTATCCAGCAGTTGACAGTGGAGAATACTGGTGTGAACTGGGAGGAGGAAAGAGAAGCAACACTGTCAACATCACTGTCACTGGTATGTACATAGTGGAAAATAATCCAGTTGTCAGTACATCCGTGTACATAGACAGGGGTGTTGTGTTAACCTATTTTCAATTAAAACTTGAAAGATTTATATGTGTATTTTGACATGAAACATTTTTTAACACAGATTTTTATATCTCTGTGTAATTAACAAAATTATTTATATAAATTATTTTTTAAAACACATGTTGTTCAGCTGGTTCTGTGATCCTGGAGAGTCCTGTCCTTCCTGTGATGGAGGGAGACAATGTGACTCTGAGCTGCAGAAAGAAGCTGACGTCCTCCGACCTCACAGCTGAGTTCTTTAAAGATGGCCACTTCATGGAGAGCAGCTCTACAGGAAACATTACCATCCACATGTTCTCAGATCTGACTTGAACGGACTCTACAAGTGCAGCGAATTCTCTGGAGCTGGAGAATCTAGGCAGAGAGCTGGTTTGGCTGTCAGAGGTGAGTTGAGTGGGGTCCAAGGGGATCCCTGTACATCCTCTTAGTCATGTTTCTCATATTTGTGTTGTGCATTGTGCCTTAAGACATTGTTGAACTGAATAGTGTGTAAACATCTGTGGGACTAGGGAGAAAGTTGCTAAAAGACGGAGAGATTAAGTAGTGCTTGAGCAAAATTTGTGTAAGTTAAAAGTGTCATTAGCCACTGTAATTGAGAATATAACTAAATTCATTTAGTTGAGCTATAGCAGCAAAATAAGTAACCAGATATGAGACAGACACTGTCTGCAGCAGGGTTGCTAAATTTGGGTCCCTAACTTGGGTGAGATTTGAATGCCATGGGCTTGTATTAAACTAAGTTACTTGCACATGTTAAGGCTCAATTGCTTGGGTCTAGAATTTATAGACATATGGAAAGGAACGAGCAAAAGCCAGGGGGAAAAAATAAGGAAAAATAAAGGGATAAAAACAATTACAATTAATATAAAAAAATATATATACAGATTTATTATTTTTTCTGCCACTCCAGCCACTCTGTATGCACTGGCTTTACTTCAGCTGCTTCAACAAATGTGTAGGAACTTTAAACTCTATATGCAGCCTATTTAGAGAAATATTAAAAATCTGCAGCAGCACTACCACCCTCCTAGCTCAGAAAAATATAATCTCCAATATTCTAGGAACTATTTTACATCAGTGCGATGAATCACATCAGGTGTGATGTTTGATCCTATGTGTCCAAAGCTTTACTCATTTGTAGGAACTTCTATTGGCAAGAGGGACCTGCAGATGTTTGAGTAGTAACCAGGATTTTGATTCTGACCAGTGTACACAACAAATTATATTAATTTAATGAGCAAGCTTTAGAAACAGTGTAAAACAGCTATAAGCGATTTGCCCCTTTAAAAAAATCCTGAAGAGATTTTCAAAATCTGAGTGGAAATGTGTCTCCCTCCTGACGCTTACTCCCGGGAGGTGTTCGCTTTTCCACCACTGAATGTAAACAGTGTAAAATTAATGTCATACAAAGTGACAGAATGTCATACTGCATGTCTCTGTTTATTTATTTGTGTGCATGTGTGTGTGTGTGAAGACAGTCATTCAGGTTTCAGGGAGGACCTATAAAATGCATATCCACTCAATACAGCAGATAGTTTAAGGGGTCTCATTCTTTGTGTCTCTGTCTTAGAGGAAGTTTTTCCTCAGGTTGTTCCAAACAGACAGCAGCACTTTCAATATGAGTCCATTGTTGTCAGCTGTGAGGGACTGGAGGGGCTGACTGGATGGAGAGTGATGAGGAGCATCAGAGGAGTTGTTAAAACATGTAATTCTAGCTGGTCA